ACCAAATTGCCCGGGGCTGAATCGGGAATTCAATTCCTCAATTCTCTTTTTCTTCTTTCTCCGCTTTGCTTATCTGTGTGAAGCAAAGTCTTTTCCGGTCTCAAACGCGCTCCCCTATATATACGCGCACAGAAATATCTCTTCTTTGCCCTAAAGCTCTATATCTCCGCTCAAATCTCACCGATCTTTCTCCGATCACCGCGCACCACCATGGTTTGTGCTGCTCAGATCTTTATTCCGTCCTCACGCACTTTTACTCAGCTAATATTTGATTTTTGTTTTTTGTTTTGTGTTTTTGGTGCTTGATCTGTGATGTTTTCTGGTTATTGTGCTGGGAGATTCTAGGTTTCATTTAGCTATGCGGATCTTAATTGATTATTGATCTTTAAATGCTTTGTGAAACTAGCGTATATGATTGCCTGATCTTTGATTCCATGGATGTGTGTGGCCTTTTCTAGTGTCGTAGATGCGCTGATCCTTTTGCAGGTAGATTGACTTAAACTTTGAAGCATTTGTGCCTGTTTTTAGCATGTCATATTTGTTTGTCGCGTTTGTTTGTTTGTTTTTTTTTTGTTTTTGGTTGACGCGTGTTGATTTTAGTTTGTATTTCATTTTCGAAGAAATCAGTTTCATTTCTGGTGCAAATTAGCAAAATTTGCCTGACGAGGCTGTTCTTTTTACCAATTTTGGTCTGGCACCCAAAATCCCGTGCAATTTTACTTTATAGTCGTTGAATATGTGATCTGATTGGCTAATTTATGTCATGGTGTAGATCCGCTTATTGAGTTTTTGTGGTTCATATTTTAATTATCCGTATTTCCTTCAAAATCTGAACAAACATTGAAATCATTGGCTACTTCCACCGGCTGGGGCGATATAATATGCTTTATTTTTAGGTCAACTTTTACCCTAGTTGATAATCCTACTTGCTTCTTTTTGCCAATAACATTTATGAGAGACAGCCAGGCTGATGTTTCATTGTTTTTAAATGTATTTTCTTAAACACAAATATGGCCCCTTTTCTGTCAACTTTAATTGTTATAGGTACAAAACCAGATTATTAGGCTATCTGTTCACAGTCAACATATTGCATTTTGTTGTGAGCCTTAGAAGCTAACATAAAAGAATGAAGCAACCAAGGATGGGGCCTTGATACGACATTTGAAGTATTTGTCAAGGATGAGCATTAGGCTTCCTACTATGTTACTCATATTGGATTGTGTTGATTATAATTGTTCTACATATGCTCCTCCTTTCCACTTACTACCTTGCAGTTTTCTTTTTCAAAACAAATTTAACCGCTGGCTTACAACAATAACTTGCCACATTTATCTATTACTTCAAGTTGAAGACCCTCAAAAGTTTTGTTCATACAATTAAGCACATTTAGTTCATGAGGAAATTGAACGTCTCATTCATCATCATCATTTAAGATGCATGTTCAGCATCTATGGTCGACTTTACATGCCATTTTAGATAGTTGGACTAGCTTAGTTTTCTGGGGGTTTTTAATGGTGAGTTTTCTCTCTTAAATTTCCCTGGGTTGTTCAAGATGATTCTGCAAAATAGAAAGCTGAAGCAACTATTCACGTGTTTCCTCTTAAATTATATTAGAAAAATGAAACAACTATTTATATGCTGCATTGCTGCATATGTGAAATATCCATACCTTTTGTATCAAAGACTTTGAATGCATTCCTTATTCCAACTTTCTTCATTGTATGCATAGGCTAATTCTGCATCAGGCATGGCAGTCCATGATGACTGCAAACTGAAATTTTTGGAGTTGAAAACAAAGAGGGCTTACCGGTTTATAGTATATAAGATTGAGGAGAAGCAAAAGCAGGTAATTGTGGAAAAGCTGGGTGAGCCAGCTCAGAGCTATGACGACTTCACTGCATGCCTGCCTGCTGATGAATGCCGATATGCTGTCTATGATTTTGATTTTCTAACAGAAGAGAGTGTCCCAAAGAGCAGGATTTTCTTTATTGCCTGGTAATATTCTGTTGAAATGGTTGCCCTACATTTTTCACACAGCTTTTGAAGTAGACTAACCATTACTGCCGTTGTTATGTGAAGGTCTCCTGATACTGCAAAGGTTAGAAGCAAAATGATTTATGCAAGCTCCAAGGACAGATTTAAGAGGGAATTGGATGGCATTCAGGTGGAGCTGCAAGCCACTGATCCAACTGAGATGGATCTCGACGTCTTCAAAAGCCGCGCAAATTAAATAAAATTCTCTAGTACTGCAAAGCTTGATGTACGCCTTCTTTGCTTTACTCCTTGAGAAATGTTTATAGTTTGTGGGACTGCACTGCCTGCCTCGCTAAGATGTGATATTAGTCTGTTGTCGATTTTACTATTTTAATCTCCATCTAAACAAATTATGTCCTTTTGACATTATCATATGATGGTTTGGTGTGTTGAATGCGTGTAATGAATTCTTTGGTTGGGTACCAATCAACAATTATGGTTTGTTTGTTTTTTCTTTTTTTATTTTCAATGCCGATGGTGATTGCTGTAATCTGGCCTGGATGACTGGCAACTTTTGAATTCTTTTGGGAGCTTATCAATTTACCATGTTTTACTATTCTGTTTCAAAAAATTCGTCTTATGCATATAAGGTGTATTTTTTTTAGCATGCCAATTTTCTTAAAATGGGTATAATAATAGTTTTTACCTTTAAAATACTCGTATTACCTATTGGTCACATATTTATCGGGAGTGTATTTTTTGTTATGCTACGTTTTTGTTCAAAATGTATTTATCAAATCGGAGATGTAAATATAAATCAAATGTCCAAAAACATGTGACATCGGGGCATGTCCAAAAACATGTGCATATACTATAAATGGACAAAAGAATATTATTATTCTTTTACTTTGCTTATAATCTACGAGGGGTATATTAACCGAACAAAGTACTACTACTTTATAAGGAATGTCTTTTGGCTGTGAACCGCTTGGTTGGTGCTGGTTGTCTTTGGCCATATCCTGTTGTTTTGAACTGATTAAAGTGGTAAATTCTTCTCGCAAATACAGTAGTAATTAGTAAGTTCTACGCTGTCCTCTTGCTGTTCAAACCAAAGCTTGCCATCCATCTTTTAACTGTCCCACACTTCATACAATCCCTACCTTTCACCACAAATCACTCCCTTCGCATAAGATTTTGAAAATGCCAAAAAGATGTTGGGGGTATTTGGTAAATAACTGTTAGTTGATTGGGTTAGTAGGTTTGACTAGTTTGATAGCATTAGCTGATTGTAGAAAAGTGTTTGGTAAATTAGTTAGCGATAAAACTTTCTCAAAAAATTGATTGAAAATTTACTTTAAACAATTTTTTGATTTTAGCATTTTGGAGCAATAAGTTGTTTTAAAAAACTAATTAATCAAACACTCATATTAATTGTTTAACCAAGTCAAACAACTAATAGTGATCAAATAAACTAAAATTGACTGATAAATTAAATACGTTACCAAACAGGGCCTTTAACTATTTGTTCGTTATCAATTTACTTTCATTTTTTTCAAAAACATTCAAACTAGACCTTACATTTTTTTTTAACCCTGTTTTGATAATTAATCCCAAATGGTCTACTTTCCATCACTTCCCTATTGATATGGAGTAATTAAGGTTGCATTTGATTGATACTTTTGTACTATGAAATTTGATAACTATTACTCCGTATTATATTTGTGTTTATGCTTTTGTTATCCTATTATTGAATTAAAATTATTTGGTAATTATAAAATTCATTATCATTTTTCATCTCTTACTTTTGAATAATGGAATAAAAAATAGAAAGAAAAGAATAAAAAAAAAATAGAAACATCGTTGTCCATGCATTAAATATGAAATTTATACACATACACATGTATGTGTATATATATGTACTAGTATGATACCCGTGCGATACACGGATCAAAATTTAGAATTAATGAATTTATGTTTGTTGTTATTGTAAGATAATATTTTTTATGTGGATATTATAATTTATGTAGGATTTCAAATTTGAGAATATTAACTCACCCTTACTTACAACATTGGATGATTGACATTATTTGACTTTTCTTACTATTTGTAAATATATATTGGATCTTTGAGTTTTGTAACGATGTTGATCCATATGGTGTAACAATTGATGTTTGAGGTCAAATCATATTGTATCCTATGTTTAGGTGTTGCTTTTTTGTTACTTAAAATTGACTCTATCATTAAAAGTCAAGAACATTTATATTTACATTTATTAATATGCTTAATGGAGTAGATAATGTCAAGACACCATAAACAAATGATGGACTTGTGTTGATCCTTGCATTAATGCAATATGGGGAACCATTGACCATGATGGATTGCTGTAATGTTATACTACTAACATTAATACCAATGACTGATTAAATATTTTGTTAGGTGAAACAATCAAAAAAAGAGGAGAAAACCAACAGTAAAGTAGCCATTAGACAATATCATTTATTAAAAATTCAAGAAAAAAACTCAACAACATGCACGTCTAAAAGTTATACAAAACTCAATAAAAAAACAAACAATAAATAAAAGTTCACATTTGATAAAAATTTAAAATGACATTCATGGCATAATTGTCTTAAACCAACTACCACGCATACTCAATACAATTGTAATACTACCCCACCGCACAGAATACATACTAACTGAAGATTTTTCTGTTTATTAACAATTTCATCAGCCAACTTGATTCACGGTCAAAAGTCCACAGACATCTTCACTTGATCAATATTTAGAGTTCCATAGACACATTCACTTGATCAATATTTAGATAGTAAATATCTTTAATCAGATTCATCTACCTGCAAAATAATTAAAAAGTAATAAAATGCACCAAAATAATATTCATCCAAACACCTACTTTTACCGTGTAGATGATTGAAAACCATTATTTAAAAAATTTAAGTTCAAAATCAGTATGACCTGCAAAAAGAAAAAAAAAAATGCAGGGCTATAGTACTCATGGAAGCATCTACATACATATTTGTAGATGAACGATTGTAGCAACAACCATCAAACCACTTGTGTACTCATCAAAGGTGTTCCCACAAGACAGACTTGATAAACTTCCAATACTCCGCAAAGGAGTGTATTGAACACAAAGTATGTACAACAATTTCACCCAGCATATACATAGACTGCATCACACGGGGATATTTATACAGATTAACTTAAATTGTTAAAGAAGTTGTTTGCATTCCTAAGCATGCTTTCAGCCTTCTGGAAAAAAACACAAAAAAAAAAAAAAAAAAAAAAAAAAAAAAACCCTTGTACATACCTCTTGAGTCATGAAATACAACTTCTTTATATTTGATTGAGTCACTAACCTTCCGTTCTGGTATCTGGTAAGTACGCATAAATGTACGCACAACACGGACTTCAATTGCACTCCTGGTATTCAACGTTGAGATTTCATGTCCAAGAATGGAGAGGGGATACATTCAAACTGAGTTCCTGTGCAATTGTAGTCGAAGCAATGTTCTATTCTGATAGATGACCGGAATTCTGATATCTGATATATGATATTGAATTATAGAGTTTGTATTTGAAATAAAGTGGTGTATTTATAAGTAGGTTAAACACTTTATGTATACCAATCGTTAACATTTATTTATCTTGATAATAATGCCAATCGCTGTGGACATTGAAATTGTTTATGGCAAATGCCAAGTGGCTGAATAGTATTTTCTTATTTAATCAGATTTGAGTTGATTTTGAATATTACTTTGAGAATAAGAACCATTACCCTATTAAATGAATGATAATGAATAATACTAACCGTTAATCTCATTATCTTCTCTGCCAAATTAAAAGGCAGCGTTTTGTTTCGGGTGGGGGGGGGGGATTTTTTTGCTCTATTGTGCATCTTAATGTGTCTGGCTTTTTTATATAGTAAGATAAGATAAAATAGTAAGATTATATATTTTATATAAACTGCAATAGTATATATATATATATATATATATATATATATATATATAGGCCTCGAATCTGGTGCAATCCTATACTAAATGAGATCATGAGATCTCATGATATCCATTGATTAATTATATTTTGTATCCGGTGCACACCCCCTAGTCAGCCGAGCCCGCGAGCACACTCCCTGATCGTTGATTTTAATTTTTTACGATTCAGATTGATTACCACTTGGATCTCATGTTATACTGATTTTAAATGAAGCATGGGTCTTTTTGTCCTTAAGCACTATATTTATTACTTTTCGTTTCATTTATTTCCATGTTTATAACTATTTGTAGCGTTATTTTAGCTCTCCTTAATCAATATTTCTCTCTCTCTCTCTCTCTCTCTCTTAGTAATTTTCTTTGAAATTTTACGGCGGTGTGTGCGTGAGTGTGGAATGGTGTGTGCGTTTTACTGTAACAGGGCTCGTACACCATGGCGTGCTGTTTTTTTTTTCATAAAATTATGCGTTTTGGTATGTGTGTTTCGTGATACATGCATGTACATTTTGGTTTGTGTTTTACTAGTTTCGGGCGTGTGTGAAACGTAGATATAGTATTGAGCATCTTGTTATTTTTTTTTTAATTGTGCGAAATTTTACGATGGTGTGTGCGGTTTCTGTAACAGGAGGTGTACACCATGACAAACTATAAAACGCACACACCATTCCACACCCACGCACACACCGCCGTAAAATTTCCCATAATTTAAAATTTCAGATATACAAAATATAATTAATTATTACCATTGATATGGTCCCTAATTATTTAAAATATCAATTTTCATTCATAATCTCTATTAGATCAGCTATATTATTAGTGGTTGTTATTATGTTTCTGTTAGAGTCTTTAGTCTTCCTAAGCAGCTCCACCTATTTAGGTGGTAGACTCTTGTATATAAGCGTGTACTTCTTTGTTCACAGTCAATGAATTAATTCCTTCACAAACTATATTTGTTATCATTTGGTATCAGACGACTAGGTTCACCCATGGCCAATCAAGATCAAACTAATCCCACCGCCACTCTGCCTAGTGATTCCTCCAATGGAGCAGCTCAGGTGGCGGCACCCTCCGAGAGTCGGGCTCCTACCGTCCTAGAACAGGCACACCATTATGTGTCTATCAAGCTGATAGCCACGAACTATTTGTTCTGGAGGGCGCAGCTTGTCCCGTTTCTACGTGGACAAAATTTATACGGGTTCGTGGATGGCACACATCCATGCCCACCGGAGTTTCTTCCGTCGGTGACAACCTCAGCGGCTACCCCGGTGCCCAACCCGCTGCATTCGGACTGGGTCCAACAGGACCAGTCCATACTTAGCATGTTGTTCTCCTCCCTCAGTGATGAAGTCCTCTACCTAGCCATCGGACACTCGACTGCCAGAGGTGTGTGGGGAGCGATCGAAACTGCTCTAGGATCGACATCTCGGTCGCGGACGCTCAGCCTCCTGACGCAGCTACAAGGTCTTCATCAGGGCGATTCGACCACCTCGGCTTACCTTGGACGTGCCCAGGT